ACCACCCAGCTGTAGAGCATACGGTAGACCTTGTCGAAATCAACGATGGAATCGTCGTCACATACCAAACTAAAAATAGTCTTCATACCTAAATTTCTTTAATCATTGAGCTATGTGTTTGGTAACTGAGCTAAGGACTCATGTTTTATCGGTTATGATCTCAAATTCCGTGTAAAATTTGTGTTGATATAGTTAGCCTGACTATACAGCGAAATACAAACGACCTTTGGTTTTTTTAGATATCCGACCGGGAATCAACGAAGAGGGTCACACAACAAGGGGCAATCACTTAACTAAAAGTATTTGCAAAAATATGGAGACTCTGGTTGTCATTTTAGCTTACGAGGGAGTACCCAAAGCGAGACTTATTTTCTGTAGGCAACCGACTAGGCAGTGCTGCACTCCTACTCAGTTGGTCAAGTAGGCTGCACGAGGAGCCATCGCAGTGGACAGAGTGATTGTTTTATTCGCATTCCAACTCAACGCTCTCGATGAGTTTTCGATGACACACTTAAAGGCACGATGCGTCTACTATGCCTTGGGGAAAATTGCACATCATCTGATGGACATTAGCGTGAAAGAGATTATTTTTTTAGATGATATCATAAAAAAAATTAATAAATAATTCTCATTTTTCGGGTATCTCCTTGTATTTGCGCCCAGCAGGCGATTATACCGGAGCCACGGGCAAGAAGACTCAGGGATTGAGTACGGCTTCAGTTTGTCAGCATACAGAGGAAACGGGGAAGTTGCATTTCGCCCAAAGCTCTTTCTACTGCGGCCGCTCTGGTCATCCTCAGCCGGTATCCTCATTCCCATTCTTGATTATAGAAGTGGTTCTCTTATTGACGTCGTCGCTCCTCAGACTATAACCGCTTGACGAGAAGGGTAATTTTCTTCAAATGAACGATAACACCCTCTACCGAGGCCGTATTTGAGCGCTCAAGCATACTTTAAAACAACAGTATGCTGTCGCCCTCCCAGCCTTGTAAAGGTGGATGAGGATCATAGTTTGGCAATTTCCGTCTAGCAAAAAACTTTACCTACTTTGCGTAGTCTGCACTTGCCCCTTGATTAGGCGAACCCGTTGTAGGCAGTTCATCGCTAATCAGTGTGTGGTTTGGCAGCCTGCTTGTGATTCCGTTAAGGTAGGAAGTTGCCAACTGACGGGATAACCCGGACCGCTCAGTCAGACTAGTTAGATTTTGGTCAGGTGACCGACTGACAGACTGATAATCAGGCAAAAATATCCACTTCATAATGTGACTTCTATTGCACTCTCATTCCGTGTGATCCGAGCCAGGAGTGGCGCATGCCTAGGGGCGGCTGCGGCCACACCATCCATCAGCGTCCTTGACTCTTTCATGACGCCGGGCCAAAGCACTAGAGGAGGAGGTGGTGCGGCAAATGCGGTGCAAGTTTATGCTAAACATAACTCAAATTTTTGTCATAGGAGTATTCCGGCTCAGACAAAGCACCGTGATATAGCTATT